CTAAATGATGGAAGATCCTCATCAGCATTAACTAATCTTAATATCTTATCTACTGTAGGTATCTCATTTCGGAAGAAAAAATTATGCACTTTCCTCCTGATGGCAGTTCTGTCAAAGTCATCTACTCCGTCCGTTATCCTTTTTCTTGCAGGATACGGTTTTGGCTCAGAAAGTGAGTGAGTGCTCCTATATTCCTTAATGATCCTATAAACACTGGACCGACATACTCCAGAAATATGTGCTACCTTACATATAACTTCGTCCACGACCAAATCGGGTTTTTCTTGAATTTGGTTTTTGTATATATTTAATATTATTTGTTTTTCATTTGCACTTAAATGTAGCTTCTTAGCCCTTTTTTGGGTGGGGTTGCGCTGATGTCAACCACTTCGTCGGCTGTATCTGTGTCAGACATCGTATCTTAGGCAATATATAAACAAAACGTTCCACTCGCGAAAAACGAGTATACGCTACTGAATGCGTAATGCGTATGCAATGCAATCCTGTGCGTGAATTAACTGTTAGATGCCTGTCGTGTCATCTACAATCACGTTTACAAGTCCAAACCTGTGCAGATTCGTAGATCGCCGACGACTGCTAGTGACCTTGAATTTGTCTGTAGATCGATGTTACTCCAGTCAATTTAGGTTCAAAGTGGATGTTTTCTAAACCAATTTGTTGTTCCTACATCAAAAATATATCGATGATGTTTTGTACTGGGAGCTCATGAAAGATCAAGGTAACTTATTTTAACAGTCATCCTTTTTCTAGTCTCAAGATGACACGAAAAAGGGTCTGTGGATTCACTAGAAATACACTGCCGAGGATGTTTAGACCTAAAGTGACTGGAGTATATCCGTGGATGCTTTCGAGGGATCTGTTCACGTGCTGATCACTGTTTACGTTTAATGTCTTTCTTCAGTGCCCAGAGTTTAGATCGACGTGGTACTAATCCGACAGATCAGGAAGAGTCATATCCTCACTGACATTAGAAGTGTTACACCTAGAAAAAATAATTCCAGCTTGATTTTTTGGAAACGGGGCAGTCTTACGTGAAGAATAAAACGATAATATTCTCACGAAATTAATAATGTGTTGGGCGACCCCGCAGCTGAATACACTCCTGTATACGTTTAGGCATCGACAAAATGAGATGATCGATGTCTGGTTGTGGTACCTCATTCCAAGCAACTCGAACTTCGAGGATTAGCTGAGGCAGAGTCTGTTGCAGATGGTGCAAAGTGGATAGTCTCCTCCCTATTACATCCTACACATGTTCGATGGGATTTAACCCTTAACTACCGTAGTGCAGAAAGTGTAACGTCATTAACGTAGTGCGGTCTCAGTGACCGCACATTACTAACAATCTCAATTACAAAAAATAAAATATTTTGCGTGTTGTAAATATTCAGGCAGAGTAGAATGAGGCCTGAAGTAACACATAACATATAATTTTTACTATACTTCATTTAAAAAATAAAAACATCGAACATCATTCATTTCGACATATTTTTACACAAATTACTTATCAAAGTTAGCTATAAAACAAAACAAAATATTCTATGGGAAATTAGTAACAGATTCTAAAATATGAAAAAACTGTCCCCTGGGACATAACTTAGTTTGAGTGATAACTTGAAAGGAGTAAAAAAATACAAGGGGTGAAGAAGTCAAAGATTATGTTCAAATTTTTCACATATTTTTGACGAATGCTCCAAACAAGTAGGCTTATGGCACATTTTACATAAATAAAAAGTTTTTCTTATTCTTGGTAGACAAGTGTGTTATTTTTTTATAATTTGTCCTCCGGAACATCCTCTTCAGTACGGTCAGGTAATGATATAATTCTACGAATGTCACGTAAGATGGGGTCTTACCAATTGATCAGCAAGAATTTTTAGAATGTCTGGTTTTTCGATCTTTGTACTATTTTTGAACGACTGCTGAACATGTGCATTGACACCACAAATATCAAGTAACTACGGCCAGATTGCATTCTAGTTGGTGGTCTACTATCGTGCAAAGAATATTCACTTTCCAGTTTTTGAATTATGCGACAGTTTTTTTAGAAGTTGCTAATAAAGTTTCCGGTTTTTATACTGCTTTTTTTTAATTCACTAACGCTCTAAAAATGAATATTTCAGCCGCAGTAAAGAATCAACGTTGGCGGATTTTGGTTCTTGACATCCTTTACGATCGGTTACGATGCCTAGAGTACGGAGACCTGTACGATTTCGTCAACTTAGTAAGTTTGATAGGGGCCGTATAGTGGAACTTCGGGAAGCTGGACTTTCTTTTCGGGCAATTGCAGTTAGAGTGCAAAGAATTGTAGACACTGTGGTTAGGTGTTGTCAGGCATGGCTTCGAGAAGGCCGTACGCAAAGAGCAAGGGGCACTGGACGCCGCCGTAGAACAACAGACCGTGAAGATCGCCGCCTAAGATTATTGGCCTTAAGGGACCGTTTCTCCACTACCACGTCCATTGCAAATGAATGGTTTGCAGAACACGGAAGACCTATTGACATGCGAAGTGTTTACCGACGAATGAGAAGTTTTGGCTTGTTTTCATACCGGCCACACTGGGTCCTCCCTTTAACTCGAGAACACCGACGTAATCGCCTTGAGTGGTGCAGACAACGGTCACTCTGGGATCAGGAATGGAACAGTATTATCTTTAGTGACGAGTCTCGATTTTATTTAGGCATGCACGATGGTCGTGCCAGGGTTAGAAGGCGACGTGGTGAAAGGAGGAATCCACAGTTTTTTGTTGAAAGACATGTTCATCACACTGTTGGAGTTATGGTTTGGGGTGCTATAGCTTGTGGTTCCAGGTCACCTTAATCTTCATCAGAGGTAACATGAACGCGCAGCGTTATATCCACGAAGTTCTAGAACCCCATCTTTTACCCTATCTTGACACCCTGGCAGATCCAACTTTCCAACAAGATAATGCCCGAACACATGTTGCAAGAGTCACAATAGACTTCTTTCAACATAATGATGTCACATTGTTACCATGGCCACCAAGATCCCTTATCCCCAATTGAGCGAGTGTGGGATATGATGGGTAGGAGATTGCTCAATTTGCAACGTCCTCCTCAGACTCTAGAAGCACTTCGAGAGGAGTTGGTGGTTGCCTGGAATGAGATACCACAGGAGGACATTGACCACCTGATCAGAAGCATGCCTAGGCGCGTTGGAGAATGCGTAGCACATCAGGGTGCATCCACACATTATTAAAGGTCAAAGGGCTTTAAAGCAGTGCAATCATTTTGAAATTTTTATCATTTACTTATTATGCTTCATTAAGTACTTATACAAAATTTTATTAAAATAAAACCATTTAAACTGGGTGTTCGGATTTATATGTCACTTCGTATAATTATTCTCACCGCATTTTACGTGCAAGAGCGGGGAAATATGGCTGTCCTGTATAGTGGCAACGTGAGGAGATGGTTGTTACGCGTATTCAAATAGTGAATCAAATTCCTATAAACAAGCTTTTGCCTAAGGCAAGAGAAAACAGGTTTTTAATATTTTGATGACAAATATGACAAAGTTGTATTTGAAAATATCTGATATTTTTAACCAATTCATGGAAGCTATATGAGAAACGTGATCGGACCTTCTTAAATTGTTCATATAGCGGGATCATTAATTTTTAATTTTAAGTTGAGGCAAGTAACATTTCAAGTAAATGTAAATATTGTAATATTGGGACAGCCCTAAGCATTTCTCTGCTGGGTGTTAGGATTGACAGGCGACTGAACGGGGGGCGCATGATGGGGATGTTGCATTTTGTGTCTCTAGGTATTACTTTGCATCGAGAATGATTAGGAATGATGTTGGTCTCGACGCTGCTTTGTCTGCATACCACGCGTTTGTTCAGTCTAGAATTAGATATGGTCTGATATTTTGGGGCAGCTCGGGGGATATGATCACGGTTTTGATTCTTAAACAAATGCATAAGGACCCTATTTAAAATCAAACAAATGGAGAGTTGCAAAGAAATCTTCATCAGTAAAAACATTCTGTTGTTTCTCTATACAGGGTGTTTCAGAACTAAGGGATCAAACTTCTAGGGGTTTATTCAGTGTAACAGTAGAAAACATTTGAGTATAGGGACTCATATCCGGAAAAGTGTCACTACGGCACTACGGCCCTAAGACGCGTTAAAATTTAGAAAGACGATGAGCTCGTGCGAGGATGCTACAAATAAACATAATCACATGACTAGGGATAGAGAAGATCTTCCCAGATAAGTGTAACTTTAGTTTTATACAGAAAAATGATCCATATAGTGTTGAAAATTGTTTTCATTCAAATGTACGTAATTTACCGGAAATCAAAGTTAAAAAGATTTTCGCTAATTATTTAATCTCCGAGACATTTCACTCATTGAATGATTTTTTGAGGATAAGGATAAACTTACTTTAGTGTTAATTTTGAATATTTTGTACTGCAGGGTATTCTATCATTGTTGCTTCTATCCATAATTTTATTGATAACGATGACTATATGGATAATTGTTGTGATTAATTATATTTTTTTTTGTTCATGATCGTGAAGGCACATGAACTCTTAGCAGTTCATAAAAATCTTTGTAATTGTATATTTTTTTTATAATTAATTTTAGCTAGCTAGTATACTTCTCTTTAACAATATTCTGTGCATCGACTTATGAATGAGTAAAAAATTATCTGTCTATCTTAGCGCATTTTTTCCTACTGAAACAGCCGGTAAAGCAGAACTTGAAAAGCGAGATACTGCAGCTGCCATAAAGAAGTTCATATAGAACTAGGGTAAGCCTATACTGGAAGATTGCTCCACATTCTCGATACCCTTGCAAAATTACAGGGTTTGTCCGGAAAGTAATAGGACTGAGTCGATTTAAAAAAATTTATTGAGCCAATCGTTACAATTCTTTAAAACCTTTCAAAATAGGCTCCTTCTGCGTCGATGCAGCGCTGCCACCGCGATTTCCAAGCATTGAAGGCGTTATGGAAGGCATTCTCCGGAATAGCCTTGAGAACCGCGGTGCATGCTGCTTGGATCCCCTCTGTCGTCTCAAAATGCTTGCCTTTCATCGGCCTTTTCAGGCTAGGAAACAAAAAAAGTCCGGGGGGGGGGGGGGCACATCTGGGCTGTAGGGCGGCTGCGGAAGCGTTGGAATGCCGGCCTTGGTCAGGTAGCTGTTCACAAGAAAGGCGGTGTGAGCCGGGGCGTTGTCGTGGTGCAACTTCCAGGCGGCTGCGATGTCTTGTCGGACCCGACTGACCCTTCGTTTGAGTCTCCTGAGCACTTCCACGTAAAACTTGGCGTTGACGGTTTGTCCAGGAGGAACAAATTCATGGTGGACGATGCCTTTGATGTCAAAAAAGACAACGATCACTTTGGATTTGCTCATTCTTCCCTTTTTTGGTCGAGGAGACGCCGTCGTGTGCCACTCGGAAGATTGCCTCTTTGTCTCGGGATCATCCTCAAAGATCCGCGACTCGTCACCTGTGATTACGTTATTCAAAAATTGGGGGTCACTTTCACACATGTTCAAATTTTCTTCGCACACTTCCACTCGCCGCAATTTCTGGTCGTCAATGAGCACTTTTGGGACCGTCTTCGCGCTCACCTTGCGCATGTTCAAATGCTGTGTCACAATGTCATGAACTACAGATTTTGGTCAATTTAATATCTGGGCAATTAAACGAATACTTAGTCGACGGTCTGAGTTCACTTCTTACTAAAGCAACACCTGGGTAAGCCTGCTTGATCATATCAAACGTCTCTGTCGCAGATTTACCGAGTTTCACACAGAATTTAATCGCGTACCTCTGCTCTAAGGAACGCTGCATTTTCGGCTTGAACCACTCCAGGAAACACGTCGCGCGAAAATGCCTGTCCTGACTCTCCAAGTGCTCGGAGACAACTGACCAGCCGCTCATTCGTTAGCTAGGAAGAAAAAAGAAAGTGAGTCCTATTACTTTCCGGACAAACCCTGTATATATTTTTTCAAGTAAAATTGGAAAAATGCAGCCACATTCTGTAAACTGGTCTGGATCGTGTTTACATTACACAATTTTCCTCCTTCAACCAACACTGTAGCTGTAACCGTTGTTTAGATCGCATTCCTCATCTTGCACACTGTATACTAAAGTATTGGTTTTTGCAAATATCTGTTAAAGACTGCGATAGTCAATAAACATTAAGCAGTGTGTTTGTAATATACCTGATCTCTCTGATTAGTTGAAGCTCCAATAACAATTTAGGTCAAAATACCGAAAATTGGATCTTAAGGCATATTCGACCGATTTCGAAGCAAAAATTCTGTTTATCTTGTCGTGAGGTTGGTCCTTTTCCTTTACGGAAAAAAATATTTCGCGGACTTTCTGTTTCGGAAGCTATTCGAATTTTCGGCCCAGTAAAAAAAATGTGGCAAATACTGGCAAGGAAGTTTTATAATCACGAAAAAATTCGAAAATGAGATACTATGTTTTTTGGATGTAATTAAAAAAACAACATGTCACTCATTTCCATCGGTTTTTATGTTTGTCGGATAATCCTTGGCCCGCCTTGGAAAGAACTATTGGAATTTGTATAAAATTTCAACGCAAGGTTACTACTATGCCAAGGACGAAAAGAATTTGTAGTGTTTGAACATCGGTCCAGTGACAGTGGAGAAAAAGGTCAAAAACGAAAAAATAAAAATTGCCTAGATCCCGTTTTTTGATATTTCAGAGGATCCTGATTATTTAAAAAAATAGGATATAAAAATAAGGAGGTGGGGCAGATAGGAGTAGCAACAAAATGGAAAATTGAAATTTTTTATTATAGGTGGTTTTCAGTGTGCAAATAGTTCATTCCACATTTGTTCGCTATGATCACTGTGCTCAACAGCTTTTGCTAAGTTGACATCCTGTAGAAAAACCTATGAAATGTAAAAAAACAAAATGTCTTTTTTCAAGATACGTTATACCCGTGCCGTTCAAAAAATAATCGAAAAGCGTTGCTTATGGGTACATCAGACATGCGACCAACATTGCAGGCCTTATTTGGGCTTCGTACAGAGTTATAAGGCTCGATTGCACCTTCTGGCTCCAAGCAGATAACTCGGCCTCTTCAAAATTAATAATTTGATTCCAGGATCTGGTAAGTCCTACACCATGATGGGTTCACAAGAAAATAAAGGAATAATACCAAGGTTGTGTGATACATTATTTGGCCTAATTGCAAAACAAGAAAGCTCTCAGCTCAACTATAAGGTCGAAGTCAGTTACATGGAAATTTATAATGAAAAGGTATGTTAATCACGTACAGGGCAGTCCGTAATGAATCCTTAAAAAGCAGTCCTAGATTCATGAAAATTATGATATTGAGCTAAAGTTGCCTTATTAATGGGATACAACAGGGTGGTGAAGTTTGATTTAGTGTCATTTCTTTGTATCCGAAGTCACGAGCGCCCGCAGGAATTTATCTCAGGGTGGAGGGGCAACAATTTTCTAAGGGGAGCCAGTACTGTTTTATTATATTTTTCTGAAAATTATGATCGAGTGGCAATTTTGAAGTGAAAAACGTTTGCCAAGATATTTGTCAAGTTGAGTTTAAGAATGGACTGCTTTTCGACTCATTCCTGTTTTTTTTTTACTTATTGGAGTGATTAATGTTTGACTTGACGTTATTTCAGGTGCATGATTTGTTAGATCCGCAGACAAATAAACAGTCATTGAAAGTACGAGAACATAACGTACTTGGTCCTTATGTGGATGGTTGTCACAGCTGGCTGTAACGTCATTCGAGGTACGTGCTTATTTGATAACAAAGGTCTTCTTTCACAACGGCCAATTGCCATTTTTCCATAGTCAAGTACCAGAATGGAAGAGAGTAATGTAATTCAATAGGCTACTTGACTAATCTAATTTTAGAATAAATGAGTATTTCTTATAGTATTTGTCTTAGGAAATCCAAATATAACGATTACAATTTAAAAAAAAATTGAAGCAAATTGAAGGTAAAATTCGAAAAATTGAGCGTTTTGAAAAAAACAGTGGCGTACTATTATTTGGAAAAATAATCTCACTAAGCCCCTGTATCTCCGCCGCTGGTGCACGTTAATTTTAAGTAAATACTTTTTAATGCGGACAATACTTAGGTAAATCCACATACCAAATTTTAGTTAATTCCAGTTGACGGTTTTGAAGATATTGAAAAAAATTGTTTTTTATTCAAGGAAAAAATGTTAGATAGAAGACCCGCCCCCTCAAAATGCGGTCCTGTGTGTGATGTTTCATTTTTGGTCAAGACCTGTGAATCACCCACATACATATATAGGTCCAATTTGAAAACGTATAACGTATACTTTCCATTTTTAATACGAAATGGTCACGTCATACAAATCGTAAACAAAGGAACGTCTCCGTATGTCACACGTGGAGTAAAGTTGTCTTTTTTAGATATTTCTAAAGAACTCCTAATCAACGTAAAACGTTATCGTTTCATTAAAATTGGACGTTGGATTCGTAAAAGCAGAAAGCACAAATTTAACCAAAATTGACACCTTGATGCTTTGTAATTTTTTTCCTTCAACCCAGATTTCTGCTCTTTTGAGCTGAGGAACATCAATACTTCTATGTGAGTACATTGCATCTGATATAATGATAAATATAAAAAGAAAGAATCAGTAATACACTCTTCAGAAGTCATTTAAAACTAAGCACATGCGTCATAACTCAATAATTTTAACTAATATTGTTCCAGTATTTCTTCTTACACATCTGCAATGAATTCGTAGGTTACGTCCAACTTAAACGAGACGATAAAATTTGCACATTAAAATGTAAAATATGTCCCGAGTATAACGTGTGCTCAAGCAATAAACCCTATTTCACGAGTATCCACGTTTTGTTGAACTTTTCTGAATAAAAGAGTTTTTAGCAAGTACAAGATAAATCCGTAGCGTAGAAAAAACTAAATACGGCTCTGTCTTATTAAGTCATGTTTATATGTTTAAAAGTTTGAGAGGTTATGTTGTTTACAAATGGTATGACGTCAGATCACATTAATATGAGCCAAACATGGCGGACAGCGTTTTCGCCTCTCTAAGAAAAACCTTTTGTCACGACTATGAGGTGGGAGGTAAGCTTGCTCTGGGTTGAGCAGACTCGCTGGTGTGTAGACTTAAATGATAACAAAAAAATATATTTCCAATTGCATTAACAAAACGGCGCCCAAATAAAAGTACAATAAAAATAAAATAGGTACTTACTTTTTGACCCAGGAAGGTCCAATCCCACGAAGAGAGATTCGCTTCGAGTGGAATCACTCACACATAGGAATAATTACATAATATCGGCCCATCCAGTTTTCTAGAAACCGATAGAACCCCCCACCGGTGGCAAATAATACGCCTTAGCAGATTATGCATTAGTTGCCCACGACATTTCTCAGCGGGTGCGGTTTAGGGTATCTATCGGCCTATATGGCGCGTGCAAGGCGCTACATACAGTTGATCAGTCGTGGAAATATTTTTAAATTAAAAGTTTTACCATCTTGTAGGTCTGAAAAAATATGTAATTAACTTTTAAACTTTTAATTATTATTATTGAGACCCACTTAAAAAAAGGTCATCTAGCCTATTGCTAACGGCCGTATCGTCAGTCATTCCTACAATTATTGAAGGACGCCTTTATGGCCTCCTTGATTTTCATAGTATTTTCTCTCCTTCAGGGATATTTCTAGGTTTCTACTGTTCCGTGTCAGTGCTCTCAAATCGTGATCTTAAGACATTTCGGGCAGATAAAACAGATGATAGAATCAAGTTTTATCAGCCTCAAGTTTCTTAGAATTCAAAAAGAAAATATAACCTCAAATAAAATCACACTGTGATCAAAGACTGTGTTAAGATTAGCGTACTCATACAGTGCGCCCCGAAACTCTCTTCCATTTTGATACTTGACTATACACAATGGCTGACACATGGGTTGTTTATATTTCAGGACATTGATAATTTGATGGCGGAAGGTAACAAATCAAGAACAGTAGCAGCAACAAACATGAACAGTGAATCGTCTAGATCTCATGCAGTATTTACGATTATTTTAACGCAAACCTTGGTAGACACTAAAACAGGTGTGTCTGGTGAGAAAGTGAGCAGGATGTCGCTGGTTGACTTAGCTGGATCAGAGAGGGCTGTGAAAACAGGAGCTGTTGGGGAAAGATTGAAGGAGGGCTCTAATATAAATAAGTTAGTTTTATAAATATATCGTATATTTTTCCTGCAAATTCGCAAGTCATCGATCAGAAGTCAAACGCTAGAAAGAAAATTTAAAATAAGTGGGCCGATGTATACAATGTGATTTCACATATGAGATATACAAGGTATCTCAGAATAAGCAGCTATATCTCGAATGCATTAAAACAACAAATATAACCAAAAAACGTGTCCAAAGGTCCTGGGGGGATCCCCCACGGAGATTATGCCCTCTATAATAGTAGCTCAGATATGTGTTGGGGAAAGTCTAATCGTTCAGCTGATAAAAACGTATTTTTGTTTGATTTCGACTTTAATCGTTTTTGAGGAAAACAACTTGCTTTAATATACTGTTCATATCCATTCAAACGCTGATCCCTAAAAAGTCATATGAAAATCTAAAACTTGATTAACCGATTTTAAATATCACTTCAGATTTACTACATTTTCAAAATCATGGAATCATTGGATCCTGTATCATTACTTATACAGGGTTATCCAAATTAAGTGTCCACCATTGGAAACTTTGTTATTAGTAAAAATACAAAGTTGTTTAAATTAGCAAACTAGTAGCATTTTTAACGCTGGTAAAAATGAGAAATAAAAAAAAACAATTGAGAGTCGTTATTTTGATTTTTTTCAGTAAAATAACATTTTTTTAAATGGAAACCCCTGTATATTATATTTTTTTCTGTTAAAGCATCAAATTTTAAACAAAAAAGTTCATAATGACTTTTCCGCTAAAGTCAAAAATAAAGTCAAAATAACGATAAATATTTTTAATTATTTGCAGTATTATAATATTAAGACGGCTATGAAAAAACATGGCGTTCGCGATTTGACAGCATTAAGATGGACAGATGAATCAAATTTTTCAAATTCTGGAATGTTTAATAGAAAAAACCACCATTATTGGTCAAGAGAAAATCTTTTGTTAGTACATCCAAGAGGCCCACAAGTCCGTTTCAGTTTCAACGTTTGGTGCGGTATAATTGGTTCAAAAATTGTTGGCCCGTTCTTTTATGAGGGAACCCTAACTGGTGAAAGATATGTGGAATTTATGTCAGAAATTCTGACTAATTTCTTAGACGAATTGGATCCTATAAGTAGACATCATCTGCATTTTCAGCAAGATGGCGCACCTGCCCACAACTAAAGAGGTACTTATCATTTTCTAAGTACTACTTTTAATGATCAGTGGATAGGAACAAATGGCCCAATACAGTGGCCTCCCAGATCACCAGATCTAAACCCACTTGATTACTTCTTGTGGGGTTACTTAAAGAACATATTTACAAGCGAAGGTACGATAACCTTGACGCGTTAAAGACTGCAGTTAGGGAAAAGATAACCCAGATAGATGGTAGGACCATACTTAAGACAGTTCGAGCAGTTGAAAAACGTGCCCAAAAATGTATTGAAGAACAAGGTGGTGTTTTCGAGCATCTTCTTTAAAAAAAATTGTTATTGTATTTTGTAAGATTATAAGTTGATGTTGAAAATAAAGTTTGTCGATACAATTTAATTGTTTCAGATTGGAGGCCATAACTTCAACAATTTGTAACCTAGGAAAAAAGTTATTGTAAGCTTTTTTGTTTAAAATTTGATGCTTTAACAGAAAAAAATATAATATACAGGGGTTCCATTTAAAAAAATGTTATTTTACTGAAAAAAATCAAAATAACGACTCTCAATTGTTTTTTTTTTATTTCTCATTTTTACCAGCGTTAAAAATGCTACTAGTTTGCTAATTCAAACAACTTTGTATTTTCACTAATAACAAAGTTACTAATGGTGGACACTTAATTTGGATAACCCTGTATACTACCGTACTGAAACAAAGCTGGTTTTCTCAAAAATGTCTCACTTATTGAATCAAGCAGTACTTTTTTTTCCAGATCGGGATTTCTAAACATACAGTTGACGCATTATTGTAAGGTGTTAAAAAATTATCAGCAGTTAGTAGAGATTGCAGATATTTTTGAATATATGTGATATCTCATATCGTTGCTTTTTAATATTACGACGTTCGAAGAACGATATTATCGGTATCCTGATATTCTGAGAAAAATACCGCTTTGAAATCACATTGAGTTAACTACGAAGTAGAAAATTGGACCAAACTGAAGAAGATAATAGAAACACATCTCACTCATATAATAAAATGCTTATTATCAATTGACCACACCAAAACTCACTATGTTTCTTTTGCTTTACATTCCAACAATCTACCACATTATCAGTCACTCAACCTCAATCAAACAGATAATCAAAATTCAAGTACATATTTCTCAAAAGGAATTTACAAAATATTTTGGCGTATTCATCGATAGCAGACTTTGTTAGAGTGACCATGTTTCTTATATTTATTAAAAATTAAGATTCTTGCTTAAATTTCACCACTTAGTCATTTTATCACAAAAAGATGATATTATATCACGCACTAGAAACATGTCACCTAAGTCACGGAATAACAGTTTGGGGCTATGTAAATAAGACGCTAATAGAATTGGTTAAAAAACAAAAATTTATTCTGAAAGTAACATACGAGGGTGGTCCGATAAGTCTGGCGATGGCGCCACTATCGCAAGAGAAATGTACTATCGTGTAATACATTCTCGTAGATGGCTACTGTCAAAATTTCAACCGAATTGGACTCGTGGTTTTGTTTTGAACGCGTGTGGAAGTGGACGTGTCCGCGGATTATAAAGTGTTGTCCAATAGGGACGCAGGAAAGTAAACGTCAATTTGACATAGACGCCATCTTTATTTTCTGTCACCGACATGTCATTTTGTTAGTTGAATGTTTACCATTGATCGCTATGGAGTCCTATTCGATTGAAGACCGCATTAAAGTTATTCAAGAGCACTACAAAAATGGTGCAAAAATAAAAAACACGTTTCGCGCGCTTCGTGAACATTTCGGTCGCTTCGTGAACATTTCGGTCGCAACAACCGCCCAAACGAAACAACCATCGGTCGTCTGGTGCGTAAATTCGAGGCAACAGGTTCTGTGGCAAATCTGCCAGGCTCTGGCCGGCCAAGGAGCGTTCGCACACCGGAAAATATTGCTGTTGTGAAGGAGAGTGTGAGAGACGATCCGAAACAATCAACAACGCGTCGATCCCAAGAATTGGGCATTTCGAGAACCAGTTTGCTCCGCATTCTCCACAAGGATTTGAATGTACACGCCTACAAGATCCAATTGACGCAAGAGCTGCGTCGGGCCGACCATTTTTCGCGCCGAACGTTCTCAGATTGGCTCCTTGAACACCGCCAAATTGATGCCAATTTTTCATGAAAAATCATGTTCAGCGACGAAGCGCATTTCACTTTGACTGGGACGGTAAACAAGCAAAACTGCCGCATCTGGGCGAACGAAAATCTCCGTGAGTATCAAGAGCAGCCGATGCATCATCAAAAAGTGACTGTGTCGTGTACATTGTGGTCAAAAGGCATCATCGAACCTTACTTTTTCGAAAATGCGGCCGGGGACGCCGTTACCGTCAATTCTGAGCGATATCACGTGATGATAGAGGACTATCTTTTGCCGCAACTTGAAGGAATGGATATGGGCGATGTTTATTTCCAACAAGACGGTGCAACATGCCACACAACCAACGTCAATATCCATCGATTGCAGTCCTTCCTCGGTGATCGCGTGATTTCGCGCAGAGGAAATGTGCCATGGCCACCAAGATCGTGCGATTTGACTCCCTTGGACTTCTTTTTATGGAGATATTTGACAAGCAAGTCTACGTCAACAAACCAGCCACCCTCCAAGAACTCAAAAACAACATCATTGCCGAGATAAATGCCATAGAACCGACCATGTTGCAAAATGTCATTGAAAATTTCGACCATCGCGTGGACGTCTGTAAATCCAGTCGTGCTGAACATTTGAGCGATATTATTTTTCATACATAAATGGTATAAATGAACCTTCAAAATAAAGTACCCAACTTGATTTGAATATCAATATTTCTTGTTTTAATATGCGTTTACTTTCCTGCGTCCGTTTTGGACAACGCTATAGAAAAATGGAAAAAGAGCAATATCAGTCGGTGATTCGAGTCTTTTTTTTGTAAGGGAAATCGCGCGGCGAAATCAAAGAACGCTTGGATGCCGTGTTCTCGTTGGATGGTGACAGTAAGAAATCGATTTAACGCGTTTCAACGTAGTCGCACGTGGCCGAAGCTGCGAACTGCTGCCCCATCCACTGTATTCTCCAAATTCGGCCCGTGCGACTTATTTTTGTTTTCAAACTCGATGGGCAGAAATTTGAGTCGAATGAGGTTATCGCCGCCATGGAGGCCTACAGGCTAAAAGGAGCCCATGTTGAGCAAATAAATCACCACTTTTCCAAAATTTTCGTTTTTCTTTTGTAGGCTAAGTACTTATCGGACCGCCATCGTATTTTTTTCTAGGCGCAAGGATATACTTTTGAAGATTGGAATTTATTGTCACGCTTTTTCACTGTATTCGGTCATAGTCGTGATTGCTGATTTAGAAATCTCAGTAACAAAAATAACAATTCGTGAAATATCTGCCACGAGTCGCGAGCTGAAGCTAGTCCATCCCTGGCGATATAAATGAGTTCATTCATTTCTAGGTTTGTTCATTGCGTGTCTGATTCTCAGTAGGAGAGCACCGAGGGGGATTTTTAATGGACATTATTTTTTGTGTTTCTATATGCATTCTGGAGATTGAATGCCTATTCTGGGACATCCTGTGTATTTTTTGGAGGTGCCAGGAAAAAATCATCTTGGACAAACATCCGTTTTTCTGCTTTCAGATCCTTAACAACGCTAGGTCTAGTCATTTCCAAGTTAGCAGACCAGTCGTCGACGGGTAGTAAAAATAAAGACAAGTTCGTGCCGTACAGAGATTCAGTATTGACGTGGCTGTTGAAAGATAACCTGGGAGGTAACAGCAAAACAGTGATGGTTGCTACAATATCCCCGGCAGCTGATAACTACGAAGAAACGTTGTCAACGTTGAGATATGCTGATAGAGCAAAGAGAATAGTTAATCATGCTGTTGTTAATGAAGATCCTAATGCTAGGATAATAAGGGAGCTGACAGAAGAAGTGGAAACTCTGCGAGAGATGCTGAAGCATGCTACTGTAAGTCGTGTTTTGAAACGGTTTGATTTAGCTTGTCTTGCTTAAGTCAAATCTTGTTGAAATTTTGTTCTCTCCCCGTTGTCCGATTGATCTTGAATTTGGCACACATATTCAATTCTGTTGACAGTATAATTATGCATATTCATTATTTTTGTAAATCCAATACGGCCGTCGCTACCAAATGGATTACATATTTTTTACAATCCTTCGAATATGGGGATCAAATCAAAGGGCTTGATTGATAGAATATATAAAAACAATTGCAAATCCAAGATGGCTGCTACCGCATTATGGCGGATTTCATTTTTTCTATCCCCTCAGTATGCGTGTCATATAAGTAGAACACGTACACTTTAGAAAAAAAAATCCTGATCCAAAATGGCGTCCTTAACAAAACACGTACTATATAGTTAAAGACAGTCACTTTATTAAAACTAAAATTTAGGTATCTGATAAAAACAACTCTAATAATGAGGCACTTGATGAACGTCAAATTTCCATTACTATCATCGTGCAACAATCACAGAACGATCATTTTCATATTTGGGCCCGACAATTGTATTTTAGTCTGATCAATCCCCTAAAGCTAGACTGATGAAGAGAGTGCTGTGGTGACTGGTATCTGGTCCCTACCTAATTATTTTTTAGCTTTATCTACATCGTTATTATGTTTCTCTATAATAAAACCTCTCTACTCGATTTTTACTTTTTTTTTGTTAACATCTTCTAGTGTTTCACGAATACTAAAATGTTCTTCAAATTGCCCCTCCATGACGCGCTTGAACCCATCTCTTGATAAATAAAATTCTAGGATTCTTCTTGTAAGCATACATTGTTTTTGAACAAAATATCTTAGTAGGTAATCGCCTATACTTGTCTGGTCAATAAAATCACATGTATTGACAGCGTCTTATTTACTGTAAACATTTCAATCATAAAGGTGACAATGACCATATATTTCATTTATCTGTCTTTCAGGTGACAGTTCGTTTTTTCTTCTTCTTGTCGCTATCACATTCCTATACAGTGTGTTACTATAATAGTCTGAAAATCTCGTAACATGCTGAGATTGCGGGAAATCATCGCTAAAAATTTTAAGATGGCACCACGCAAAACCAGCATAGCCCAGGACCGCCTAGGGTAGACATTCCTGTTCCCAAAAAAGAACGTCCAGCCTCAAAAAACGACAAGCGAGCATCGACCAGACACGTCACCCTCCTCCATCGCCCCGAAAACGCCAATAAGCCACCCAGAAATGTCATAATACACCGGTTAATTGATATGCAATCTTCGACTAAAATCTTGCAAGTATGGATATTGTTTTTCATCTCTTCGCGAGAAATACCACCGTCTAAGGGGGCTATGTTGTTTGTCCTGAGAGAAAATAATATCAGACAACAGTTAGGCCTTGAGATAGCAAAGCAGAAGAATAACCATGAGAAACAAAAACCGGGATAAAAACCCACGGTCCACTAGTTAGTTTCGAGAATATCAGTTAGATCTTTCCTTCAAGGATATTGGGTCACAGCCCACAAAGAGGTTTTCGCGTTTTTTGGGGGGTTTTTAGCGTTTTCGGTACGATTGACGAGGGTGACGTATGCGGTACATTAAAAAACGACAGATAGCCCCATGCTTGTAATTTTTGCGAACGGAAATGCCTAGCAGGCGGTACTGGGCTATGTTGGTTTTGCGTGGTGCCATCTTAAAATTCGTAATGATGACTTCGCGCAATCTCAGCGTGTTACGAGACTTTCAGACTGTTGTATTGACACACTGTATAGGAACGTGATAATGAAACTGTCACCTGGAAGGCAGATAAACAATATATATTGGCATTGTACTCAAGGAGATCACTTTTGCGATTGAAATGTTTACAGGGAAGAAGATTCTGTCAATATATGTGGTTTTATTGGCCAGATAAGCACGGGGGATTATCGACATGTAAACCACCGGATAAGTTTCAGATTTCACGTTATCTTTGTAGGGCTCTCCAGTTGGTGATATTCAAAGAGTTGACATCCACCAAAAGCTGAGCGAGAGCGAAAAATTATACAAAGAAGTTTCCCAGACGTGGGAAGAAAAGTTAATGAAAACCGAAAGGATCCAGAACGAACGACAGCAAGCTTTAGAAAAAATGGGCATTAGCATCCAAGATTCCGGAATCAAAGTAGAAAAGAATAAATACTACCTAGTGAACTTAAACGCAGATCCATCCCTGAACGAATTATTAGTTTATTATTTAAAAGATATAACAGTAGTAGGTGCTAACAGCAACGATGTTGATATTCAGCTGTGTGGACTGGGTATTCAACCAGAACATTGCATTATCACAATCGAGGAAAATGGTTTGTTCCTGGAGCCATTAGCAAACGCAAGATCGTGTGTGAATGGATCTCAAGTTAGCCAAAAAACGCAGTTGAGACATGGTGATAGAATCGTTTGGGGTCATCATCACTATTTTCGAGTCAACTGCCCACGATCAATATGTAAGTAGACACAATGCTTTAAGATGTTTTTAACTTTACATTTACAGGGTAGCCCAATGTTTTCAAAACGTTTAACGAGTCACGTACGGCAAAAGCCTTAAGCGTTGGTTTAGGTATTCATGTTGCTGTGCGAAAACCTATAATAGCATTATTAAAGCATGTACCACTACAGGCCATCACAAAAATACAATCAGCGGCCACAGAGAAACGACATAAAAAAACGTGACTAACCACCATAGATCAATCCGCCTGGCACATCTTGGCAGTGATGCTTCTTTCAACGTTACCAACATACTCACAGTCCTGTCTACATCAAGTTTGTAGCTTCCACTAGCAAAGAAGCGCAATGTAGACAGTATCTAGAAATACAAAGGGTACTATGAAAGTTTTGCAATACAGATTTATTTATTGACTTCGTTCAAAGTAATTTCCAACACATTCCACACTTCTCCATCCGTCAAAAGCAGTCTTTAAACCAGCTCTGAGAAGTTTCAGCTGGGAGTGCGGCAGACTCATCGCTAGAAAACCGGTTTCCTTTTAGCTTCATTTTCACATGCGGAATTAGTGCAAAGTCGCAGTGAGCAAGATCTGTACTGTAAGCAGAGTGCTCAATAAGTTTCAGTCCAGTAGTGCTCAAATACTCGGTGCAGGCATTGACGCGGTGAGCTGGAGCGTTGTCATGGTAGAAGTACCAAGTCTCCATTCTTGACGTTGGCCGCAGGTTTTTCATAGACTCTATGACTTTAGGCAGGCACTGTTCCGTGTACCACTTAGCTGTGACTGTCTTCTGTGTGTCCAAAACGCATGCACCACAATCCCGCTCGATTTGAAAAATACAGCCATCATTTTTTTCTTAACAGATTTTTTCGTTGTAGTTAACGTACTGTACTTGAAAAAGCGTTCATTACATATGAACCCGGCAATCCACATACCCAAGTTTATTGCAAAATGTCATTTTTAATTCATATCTCAATATGTATTAATCAACGAAGTCAAACAGATTAGTGCCATGTTTACATTGCATTGTTTGTCTCAAAAATTGCGTAATTTTTAGCGCATACCTTTGACTCATTTGACTATCAATGCCTACCAAAGTAACAGCGCCATATCAACATAATAATACTTACCGATGTAAAGATCTACCTTCATTATTCTTGTGCCGCTCTTTATACAAGAAGTAACATTTAAAAAATAACACTAACTATACTAATTTACTGACTGAACTAACATAAAATTAACTTTGTCAAGATTGCTTCTATTGACTATAGACGGGCATTTGGAGACAAACAACTCATAGGCTTCCCCCTCATGTCTAGTCTGAATTCGTTGGTATTAATGAATGAATGGGTGAATATTTTACGTATTTTTTTAGCAGCGGCGTCAGAACCTCAGACGCCAGCACAAAACATTGACTATAATTTCGCACGTGACGAGCTGATGACTAATGAGTTAAGTAATGATCCAATACAAGCTGCCATTGCACGATTAGAAAAACAACATGAAGAAGATAAGCAAGGTGAGTACATACCGTCTTTACACATTAAGATCACAAACACCTTTTTTTCAACACTCTGAATGAGTATTCTTAATGCTTTTTATCTGATTGTTTTATGGTGTGTATAGTGATGTGAAAAACAATATACTACCAATTTCTATATCCAACGCCTACTGGCAAGGAAGTATTGTAATCGCGAAAATGATATATGATTTTGGATGTTATACGACATGTACATTACGAAAAACCACGTCACTCATTTCCGTCGGTCTGTGTGTCTGTTCGCTAATCCGGCGTTGCTTGGGAAGTGCAGAGTCAACATACTTGACGCCATTTTTTTGTTAAAAATGCATTTTTGGTGCATTATTAATGCATTTTTTTCACAATCGAAACTGATCGACAAATAATAGTACAGCTCTGAAGTTGTTTAAGACTGTTCCACAAAACCTCACAACTTAATGATATTTCCAGTGGCGTTAGAAAAACAACGTTTGGAGTACGAAAGGCAGTTCCAACAGCTGAGAAACATGGTATCCCCATCAACTCCTTATTCTCCTTATTCGTACGACCCTCTACGTATGGGCCTAAGCAAGACCACCCCTTGTACTCCAACAACACAGATGAAGGTAGAAAGGTGGGCCCAGGAAAGAGATGAAATGTTCAGAAGGAGTATAGGGCAATTGAAGGAGGATATTCTTAGGGCAAATTCGTTGGTGAAGGAAGCTAGCTTTCTTGGTGATGAAATGGGAAAGCAGACTAAGTTTAGTGTTACCCTGCAGATCCCTCCAGAGAATTTGAGCCCCAATAGACGGGTATGTTACAGATTAGTATTTTCATCATGATTTATCTGAGGATCATTGCTTTTGTAAGATAATAAATACATTTTTGATACATTGTCTTTTTATAACTGTGATTTTTCCACATGATCGCTATTTACTTTTTTTTAAGTATATAAGGAAATCAACTAAACCTCTAATTTAATCATATTTTGATTATTGCAGAAAGGGGCATTTGTGAGTGAACCAGCAATTCTTGTAAAACGAAACAATTCTAGTCAGGTGTGGTCCATGGAGAAATTAGAAAACAAAATAATAGACATGAGAGAATTATATGAAGAGCAAAAGAGAAGAGCTGAAGAAGGTGAATGTGCTCTAGATGAAACAAACTGGCCTGACCCGTTCTTTGAGTCACAAGAAAATCATAACCTGATTGGAGTTGCTAATATATTCCTGGAGTGCCTTTTCCATGATGTAACTCTAGATTATCACACTCCCATTATCAGCCAGCAAGGGGAAGTTGCTGGAAGGCTTCAGGTTGGTTTTCATACAGACGTTTTAATATTTGATATACACGGTGTCCCAAAAGTCGACGTCAAGCCGGAAACGGGGCATATTCTAAGTCGTAATAGAAAAATATAAAAAAAACGTTGTGTACTTATCAAATTATAGGAATTAAAAAATCGGAAAAAATTAATTTTTCCTCAGACATACTGACGGACAGTGTCATTTTACGTGGTGCGCCTGGCAGCTGTCTGCTGGTACATGTAAATGCTAAGTGGCACGTCTTCCAATAAATTTGATAAATGATTTTGTAAAAAGTCATTCAAGAGCTCTGGCAGCTCAAAGGGTATAGTGATTCCTCCATTTAGAATCCCAGTCCACATGTTTACTTTAAAACGATACTGTGATCTATCTTGTGTCATCCAATGTGGATTTTCTACATGCCACTCGTGTAAGTTGTGTAGATTCATATAACCATCGTTTCTAAATGTCGACTTATCAATCCATAAAATTTTCTTTAAAAATCGCGGATCTTCGCGGTGTCTCTGTAATATTGTTTAACAAAACTCAACTCTTGAAAGATAATCCCAATGTTAAAGAGATTGCACTCGCTGTATGTGGTACGAGCGAAGCTCGTTTTTTGCAAGATTCAGTGAGCTGTACTTTTGGGAACTCCCGTACTTGCTTTTATTTGACACACTGAAGTACTCGGGTCTTCTTCTACTGCTTGTAGTACGACGTCTTCGTAAGGAAAGGAAAATCTTCCTTCACGATGTACTTGATTTGAGAATCGTTCCTCTGAGAGTGAACGGTGCACATCCACAAAAACTCGGTGATCGGCATGACCAGCAACTTTTGGGCACCGATCACGATAAAGCCGAGCTGCAGCATTAGCATTGCATCTAGATTCCCCATAAATGAGGTGCATGTTGGCGTATTCCTGTATGGTGTACACATACATGGTGGTACTACACAATCATGAATCAATAAAGGTGGCGTTACAATTTGCCTTGCTGTCACTACGTAGAATGACACTGTCGTCACTCTGCCCAAGAAACAGTTGAAATTTGTAGTAATGGGAACTAAAAGTTCGTCACAGGATGTAGATTTTTCCTATTTTTTCAATTCCTGTAATTTGAGAAGTACACGATTTTTTTATATTTTTCTATTATCCCCCATTTGCGGCTTGACGTCGACTCTGTGTGCTTTCAGGAATACTACATTTGCAAAAGACTATCTGCATCCATATTATGTATCTGCGATTCTTACTGCGCGATTGATTCATGTCAAACTACGATTTCTTCTATGAGATGAACCCAGTTTTGTTAAAAATATTTATTTCAAATCACTGCGCCAGCTATGGTAGAACATTGTATAAAGCTATTAAACTTTTCATGATTCTATGGATACAAAGGTTGAAGGTTATTTCCACTTGTGGTATCAGGCCTTAACTTTTAGTGGTATTATTGCGTAGTTATCGCTTTTGCTGTGACTTGAATAAAATTACCAATCAAAAGAGAAAACATAACTGTGGTAGTTGAATCAGAAATCCGAATTTACGAAAACAATAAATTAACCCCTGTCTGCTCTGAGGTGCAGGTATAGTATCCCACGACTATGCAACTCACAAACCATGCTAGTGAAAAACGGGTTGCGGTGGTGTAGGCAAATATCAGCAAAGCAGATTTTATTTCATTGTTTTTTTATCCCCCTACCACGATTGATCTCTTTTTAGGTTGAACTTAGCAGAGTCGCTGGCACGTTTCCTCAAGACAGGATATGTGAAGCAGCTTCAGACAGCTCTTCAGATTGCAGCCATGACGAAGATGAATCTGGTAGCTCGCAAGTAACAATACGAGTCCACATAAAACAAGCGTCCGGCTTACCTCTATCACTAGCAAACTTCGTGTTTTGCCAGTATTCTTTCTGGTGGCATCCTTCGGTTGTAGTACCAGCTATTACCGATCAGAACTCCCAGAAAAATCCTACCACAGTCAAGTTTGACCACGTCAATGAATTTACAGTGAATATCAATGAAGAATTCATTGAACATTGTTCTGAAGGTGCTTTGTCTATAGAGGTAAGAGAGCTTATTCCAAAACAGTCATACAGTGTGATTCTAAAAATAAATAATGGCATTATTTCGGTATAAGTGTATTTTTCGTAAATATTCGGGTGTAGCTCATTCAATATTATGTTACTAAGGTCATGCAAGTAGCCGTCATTTCGTCAAAATACAAGAGATTGTAAATATGCTGCTATTGATCAATATAACCTCTTTAAGAGTGGCGTCCAAACGTGTCATTTATAGACAGCCTGAAAAACACATAAGTAGTTGTGAAAACTATACAGGGTATCCCAGAATAACATTTTCGTAGAGGAATCCGGTAGGACTTTTTTATAGTAACTTGGGGAATTATTTTTTATGGTCTATTTAGTACTGGCCAAAGTTCTTCTTTTAGATTCCCCTGTGTTGGAGAGCTTATCTTGCTTCTCCCTCATACACATGGGAATCTAAAATGGTCAGCGCTGTATGTGTATGAAGAAATTAACAATTAATTATATCGTTTTTTTAACGCCCTTAATTCTTATTTGATATGGCGGCTGCTTAAATGACTTTGACAGGTACGCAGATGAATGTTGGATAAGCTGTGTTTGTGAAATACAAGTTTTAGCCTATCCTGACATGTCCTTTTTCAAAACTCCATTGTCTGGCCGAATCAAACCACAAATGTTTAAATGCCTGTTTATTGTTACGACGTTTCAACCACCATGGTGGCCAGTTCAAGTATAATGACAATATTATTGTCTCACCTATAAAATATCTTTTTAGAACTGAGCTCTATGTATAAAAATTTTGTGGTTTATTAGCTCTCCAACAATATGCCACACATGGAGGTAAGTTTTCGACGTTTTGATTGAATTTAAATCAGTTACAAATTATTTTCGAAATGACTGCGTGATAGAATAATGAAGGTAGTTATTGCAATGGAGTAAACAGGTAGGCTTGGAAATGCTTCTTAACTGTTGATTTGAAGTCCATGACTTGTTCGACAGTACAGGCAGGAGGTTTGAAGGATCACTCAAGTGACCTTGACTACAGCCTTCAAGGTTAAGTCGAACTTTCCAAAAGAAACATCTCAGTTTTACTTTAGCAATGGAATAAACAGGTAGGCTTAGTAATTACTTTTGCGCAGTTGATTTGAAGCCCATGACATCCATGAATATCAAGATGTAGACATTTGCAATTGTCTATATATTATATATACAGGGTGACTTCGAAGTTGAGTCATTTATTTTAACAGTGAGTAGATCTGATCAAAGAAATGTTTTTTTCCTTTACTATTTTTCTGGTAAAATTAAAGTAACAAAGTTATAGCCCTTTGGAAGTTTGAGTACCGCCCTGTCTCAATCATAATATTATGTGCTCGTGTTTGGCAACAACGGATATAATCCGCCTTATCGGTTCATCGCATCGGAAACAAAAAAGCGAAAGAATTTGGAACGATGTTTTTACAATTATTTTATTCCGTTGTATACAGTCAGTGTCAGTCGGTAACGCGTGAGTGAATAGTGGTGTCTGTTGCGTGGCTTAAACGAAATCAAAAATGGCACATGTTTATGCGGATCGGTTTCCCAATCGAGTCCAACCAACCCCTCGTGCCTTTGTTAATGCAGTACAACAGGCTCGTGAATCAGGTGACTTAAGACCTCACAGGCGACGGCATGCCGGTGCTCCAAGACCTCACGATCAAATACAGGTCCGCACTGAAATACTTGTCGGGAGGATACTTTATAAAACAAGGTAAATTTTTTTTTTACTTTTTTTTTTATTTTTACACACATATTTTGGTTTATCTTCAAAGTCATCCTGTATATATATAAACAAGTAGGAAATATATATATATACATATATATACAGGGTGACTTTGAAGTTGAGTCATTAATTTTCAGATAATGATTGTAGACGGAAGATAAACCAAAATATGTGTGTAAAAATAAAAAAAAATTAAAAAAAATTTTACCTTGTTTTATAAAGTATCCTCCCGACAAGTATTTCAGTGCGGACCTGTATTTGATCGTGAGGTCTTGGAGCACCGGCATGCCGTCCCCTGTGAGGTCTTAAGTCACCTGATTCACGAGCCCGTTGTACTACATTAGCAAAGGCACGAGGGGTTGGTTGCACTCGATTGGGAAACCGATCCGCATAAACATGTGCCATTTTTTATTTCGTTTGAGCCACGCAGCAAACACCACTATTCACTCACGCGTTACCGACTGACACATTGACTTTATAAAAACATCGTGATCAGCGTTTCAAATTCTTTCGCTTTTTTGTTTCCGATGCGATGAACGGATAAGGCGGGTTATATCCGTTGTTGCCAAACACGAGCACATAATATTATTGAGATAGGGCGGTACTCAAACTTCTAAAGGGCTATAACTTTGTTACTTTAATTTTACCAGAAAAATGTTAAAGGAAAAGACATTTCTTTTGATCAGATCTACTCACTGTTAAAATAAATGACTCAACTTCGAAGTCACCCTGTATATTTTGTAATTATATTTGAATGGAAAAATGAACAGAATCAGTCTCATCACTTAATTTCTAGACCTTGTATGTGGTTTGATTCGTCCTAGACATTGGAGTCGTATGAACACGAAAACCACAGGATAAATTTGAGGAATTACATTATCCTTTTTTTTTTGTTAGGTGTGGGGCAACAGAAGTGCAGGTTTCTCTAAGCACAAACCAGGCTGGGAGGTAGTGGAGCAACAGTTGGCAACGGCGCGATCCCTTCTAGATCGTTGGTCAGAGTTGACTCGAAAAATAGAATTGTGGGTTGAAATTCAGGAGTTGAACGATCAGGGAGAATATGCTGCCGTTGAGGTGAACATGAGAAATGACATGCTTACAGGAGGTATCTATCAATTGCGTCAAGGGCAACAAAGGAGGATCCAGGTCAGAGTGAAGCCAGTACAAAACTCTGGGACGTTGCCTATCATATGCCAGCAATTAATCAAAATTGAAGTGGGAGGTGTTATGGTCAGGAACAGGTTGCAGAAAGCTTTGGGTATGTTCTTTTTTATTCATTTATCCGTATACTAGGGCTGGTCCCATATCAAAATAACAATATAGGGCCAGTAAAATCACGCTGGATGGTGTTTATCAGATGAGTCGATTTTAGAGAGTATACAGCATTAAAGTGCTTAACTGCATTATGGATCAAATAAGTTCTGTTGAGTCCGAATAAGATTTTTAAAATAACTTTAGGGAAAACGCCATGAGGTTCTCTATTCCTATGTTTCGGAAGTTACTGCTCGTAATTATAATACAATTTTGACACAAGGCTACTGTTATCCCTATGATAGAACACCTTAAATGCTTTCACGAATAAAGGCGCAGGTACAGGTAGAATGGGGAAATTTGAGATCGTCACTAAACATATGTTCTTGAATGGTTTCGAAGCTGCTGATTATTTTGATAAGTATAAAAGCTCACGTGGGTCAAAACCTAAAAAAAAAGAAGATTTATTTGGCGTTTTTCTACTATCTGGTTATTTCGGTTCATAGTAGAAATATTGCATATATCGATGCAATGCTGAGAATTTCTCGCTGAGTCGCATTTGATTAATTTGTGTGTAATGAAGTTTGCAAAATTCGATCCTCCTAACACTTTTTTCTATTCAGTTCTCTTATAATTGTCGAAAAAGTGGAGATTTCGACGTTTTGCAAAATTGTATGGCTAAACAAATAAATTGACTGCTAAATCATAAAACACTTAGTAATTATCCGTGGAGATATTGACGCGTGCACTATGCCCAAATAAGCTATCAGACTATTAAATTATAGCTCGGAGAGTTTTTGTAAAATTGTTCATATTTAATTAACATCAGGCATCTCAATATAAATTATATATTCTTGTTGATATACATATTGTGACTCATGCATTGTAAAAATTACTTCAATCCCGCCGGTAGCGAGTCGATCATTTCACTAAACAAGTTTCAAACAAAACTTGTACAGTTTTGAGGGTGCAAAATAGTGGTGACCTTGACCACGACCTTCAAGACCATTTCAATGTTAGGTAAACATTTTCAAATAGAACCCGCCCTTTTTACATCGAAATTGAAAAGAGGATGAAATTTTACGTCCAAATATGATCATCGCACTTTGACTATTTACTTCAAGATCAAATCAAGACATCAAAAACAAGTTCCTGTATAAAAAATGTTCGACAGTACTCGTGTGGCGTTTGTGGGGATCACTCGAGTGACCTTGACCATTGCCTTCAAGGTTAAGTCGAAATTTCCAAAGAAAACTCATTTTCACACTGGAAATGGAAAAAATTAAGTTCTTACCTCAAAGTCAAGGCTTAAATGTAATTTGAGGTCAAGGTCACATTCGGACGTAAGGTTTTCAGAGTGCAAAATAGTGGCGACCTTGTCAGTGACCTTGACCACGATCTTCAAGACCATTTCAATGTTAGGTAAACATTTTCAAATAAAACCCGCCTTTTTTACATCGAAATTGAAAAGAGGATGAAATTTTACGTCCAAATATGACCATCGCACCTTGACTATTTCATTCAAGATCAAATCAAGACATCAAAAACAAGTTCCTCAAACAAAAATGTTCGACAATACTGGTGTGATGTTGGTGGGGATCACTCAAATGACTTGACCATGACCTTCAAGGTCAAGTCGAAATTTCAAAAGGAAACATCTCATTTTTACACTGGAAATGGAAAAAATTGAGTTCGCACCTCAAAGTCAAGGTTATGACTAGCTTAAGTGTAATTTGATGTCAAGGTCACATTCGGACGTAAAATTTTCTGTTTTTTTCATGTCTGGTGTAAAAAGACAGGTTTTATTTGGAAAACCTGACTTGACCTTGAAATAAAAGAACAAGAACATTCTTAGGTGAATCCCACAAACCTCACAACTGTGTTGACAATTTTTGCCAATTGTTTTTGCTCTCTGTATCTGACCTTGAAATGGCCTTGAAGGTCATTGAAGTCAAAGTCATATCGAAGATAATATATGTACGTCAGATTTTCTTCTATTTTCAATTCCGATGTATTGTCATTTGAATATATTGACTTGTCCTTAAAATGACTATGCCCGTCGTGGTCAAGGCCATTGTCAAGGTCACCATATTGCCCCCTCAAAAACCTACAACTTTTGTTTGAAACTTTTTTCTTGAATGCGCAGTTGAAATATTTTGGTGGGGCGATTAAAACGGGACACCCTGTATAGTTACAAGATGTTTACGTAGCACAAGCTGTTGTAAACTTTTTGTGAACTTGCTTTGTAGTTGTACGTGTTGCTTGACCGTCAGCGATCATAGCGAGCCAACGTGGAATAAACTATTTGCACACTAAAAACTACCCAGTCCGCGAGATATTTCGTCGATTTACTGCCACTTGACTCTGTAAACGGCGGTGCGCGCGATCAGCCGTAGCCGATCGCTTGTGTTAAAATCTTTGTCACGCACGATCCAAAAATCATATAATGTCAAAACAGTTTGACTTATCAGCCTAGTATTTTATCATCAGCCTACTTATACAGTCAACAAAATTCATCAAATAATCGTCTATAAAGCGGTCTGGGGTGGAGTATATGAATCAATCGTTGTATTTTCCCTATTGGCATACAATTTCAGTATCTTGAGATGTCAAAATCCATTTTTGCTAGAACAATACTTATTTTTTCAGACTCATACCAAGAAGAAGATCTCACCATTCTCAGGGAAAAATGGAACGACGCTTTGCAAAAGCGAAGACAGTACTTGAATCAACAGTTACAGAATCTGCTGCAGAAGGCAGACAAGTCCGAGCAAGATGCTGAAAGGGAGAGAAGTCTTATGGAGCAACTCGTAAATTTGACAGAAGAAAGTAATGCCGTATACATTCCACAGCCTGGTACTGGCATTCCAGGGGCTCCAGCTATGTGGAGTCCCCCATCAGGGATGGAACCTCATGTTCCTGTTCTCTTTTTGGATCTCAATGGTATGCAATTATTGGTCTTTCATATATCTCATTCTCTCAGACCCCCCCCCCCTCCTTGAAGACTAAAATAATAATGAAAAAGTGGCGTATGCTTGAGGTCCTACAATGTTTTCTTTATTTACTTTTTCACGCTGAATACCAATTTGAAGTCAAAATTGAAGGTCGATGAACAAATAAGAAAGTAATTTAGGCATTAATGTTACACATTTTGGCATTTTTGGTGGATATGCATCTCTTCAGAGGTCCAAATTACTTTCATATTTGTCTATCTTTTCCCAATTTTGACTTCAGATTCGTGTTCAGCGTGAAAAAGTACATGGGAAAAACATAGTCGGACCATAGTGGGCCTGTATAATTATTGATTTGTTTTCAGCTGACGACCTTTCAACCCATCCCTCTGGAGAGGAAGTGACAATAGCTGGTGTAAACTCGATTCTTCCTAAAGAAGACGGAAGACAATTTTATACCTTACAAATTCTTAATCATTTGGATAAGGACGTGTGTGCAATAGCTGCTTGGGATTCGTCAATACACGACAGTCCTTACTTGAACAAAGTAACTGAAGGTAATAAACGAATACGTGTTTGATAAGTAATGAGATTGGTCGCCCTACGCTGTACAAAATCTAGCGGGAAACCTTACGGAAATCAGTCCTAGGTGAATCTTGCTCAAACTTTGGGAAAAGCTCTTCAGGGCATCCTGATCAAAAGTTCTCTTTTGCTCTCAACCATCATACGAAGCGTTTCCATGATATCCAGTGTGTTCAAAGCTTGCAAGTACAGAATATTGATCCTAAATAAAAACGGATCAAAGAAAATTATTTATGGGTAACCGATGGCACGTTTTTATAATACTCACAATTATACAGCGTGTCTCAATTTTGCACCACATCAAAAACATTTTTTTAAATGGAAGGCCGTACTTTTTGTTACACACTCGGATTGGCTCTTTTAAAAGAAGAAGATTTATATAACCTACTTATGGGTTTTGGTTATTAGTTATTGGGCTGTCGGGTATTGCATATCACCTGTCTTGACAGTTTTCATTAGTCTAGGTATAAAGCTTAATATATTGACGAAAGGAAAACAGGTAGTTACAATTTAGCAGATTTGGCCATGACTATAACCTTCAAGGTTACTTGTTTTTGTGGAGGCACTCCACTTTTGATTACGGAAATAAAAAGAGTGGGACATTTCACATTGATCTACAATAGTAATGGCCCATGGCTATTGCTAATAATAAATCTTGACCATGACGGTTAAGGTCAAGTCAAGTTAATATCTACATTGAGTGTTGCCAATAATAAATATTTATCACAACCTTCAAGGTCACGTCAAGGTCAAGTTACTGGTTTTCAATGAGACACTTTATGCTCTACTCCAGAAACGAAAAGAGTGGAACATTCCACATTGATCTACAATAGTCAAATGGCCCCACTCACTTGACCATGACGTGATGACCTTGAAGGTCATGGTCAGTATTTATTTTTGGAAAAGTGGAATCTCCCACTCTTTTTATATCCATAATAAAAAATGAAGGGTCTCATCGGAAAGAAGTAACTTGACCTTGACATGACCTTGAAGGTTGTGGTCTGGACAAATCTATGTTTTCTTTTCATCAATATATTAACCTATATGCATACACTAATGCAAGTTGTCAAGACAGCAGCAGATATGCAGGTTGTCGAACTTGGTTGGTTTTTTAGATAAAATACCCAAAAGCCTAATAACTAATAATCAAAACCGTCTACTCATATTAGACGAAAATATCCCTGGTTTGCGAAATAATTGTAAATTCTGGTTTTATTGCTGCAAGTTGTTCAAGACGGTATTTAAAACACGCATAAAATGGTACACCAATGTTTGTGGGAAAACTTTGTATTAGACAACAAAGAATGAGAAAACGTGTTTTTTGGGATTCAATCGAAAGTGTTGGCAGAAACAAAAAACCCTTAATATAAAATTTTTAGGCGTGTATGAGACCTACAAGATGAGATCATACGTAAAAACATCCGACTAATAGCAAAAAAGTTATTGCCGAAAACCGAGGCTAACTGCAGGTGTTGGCACTTGTTGGTAATGCGACGATGGTTTCTCGCAGATACTTGAAATTCTTGAAATTCGTAGGATTCATATTTCTAAGTAATCACAACAAAATTGGAGTAGATTGGTCAAGTAGTTTTTGAGAATCCCTAATTGTTTATCCCAAAACGCCTGTTTTCCGGCCATCACTACTAGTTTTTTGAGCAATACACAGGGTTAGTTCAAAGTCCATTTTATACCAAAATACACTAGTTTACCTTTTCGATATGAATCGCAAACCATTCCGGAAGATAAATGTTATTATACAAATTCAAATATTTCGTATTTGTGAGTAATTCGCAACAAAAGATGATGACACATCCGCCTCGTTTTAAAATTTGTATGGTAACGTATGTTTTTCGAATATAGTAGCGCATTTGTTCAGTTCTCGCAAATACGACATGTTTGAATTTGTTTAGAAGAAAAAAACGTAACCTTTGTTTTTCGCATAAAAATAACATTTATCTTTCGTAATGGTTTTGAGATTCATATGTTCAAGGTAAACACGTGTATTTTGCTATTAAATGCTCTTAAACGAACCCTGTATATTGTTCAGCAGTGATGGCTGGAAAACAGGCATTTTGGGATAAAGAATTAGAAATTCTCAAAAACTAATTGATCAATATACTTAAATTTTGTTATTGTTATTTAGAAGTATGAATCCTACGGATTTGAAGAAATTCAAGTAGTTGCGTGACATTATCGTCACATTAGCAAGTGCCTAAACCTGCAATTTGCCTTGTTTTTCGGCCATAACATTTTTGCTATTAGTCGGATCTTTTTACGTGTAGTCGCATTTTGTAGGTCTCATAAATACCTTATGTCTTATTTTTCGTTCATGTCAACACTTTCGATTGAATCTGAAAAAACACGTTTTCTCATTCTTTGTTGTCGAATAAAATTTTCCCACAAATATTGGTGTACCCATTTTATGCGTAAATGTTCCAAATACCCTTCTGAACAACTTGCACCTATAAAACCAGCATTTTCAATTATTTCGGGGAAATTTGCTAATAGGTTATATAAGACCTTTTTTCTTTAACCGGGCCTATTCGAGTGTGTAATTAAAAAAAATATATTGTTGATGTAGGGCAAAATTGGGACAACCTGTACAATTGTATTTTAGAAATGTGCCCACGGATATCATGTATAATAACCCATAAATAGTTCTTTGATAATTTTGTATTTAGTAAGCAATACTTCGTTCTCGCATGTTTGAGACATTCTCATCCTGCATATCATGGAGACATTAAGAACTTTTGACCAGGATGCTCTGGAGAACTTATCCCCAAAGTTTAAGCAAGATTCACCGGGAACTGATTTCCGTAAGGTTTGTACCCATTCAAGCAAACTATGAGCATTTCCATGTTATTTTTTGGATCTACCTTCTGACCTAGAAATATTTTCATCGTTTGAATCACCCTGTATATTTCTCTTTTTTATTTTCAGCCAACGAAAGAGTTTATATGATTCTACGTGTCACAGTCAGACTATCCCACCCAGCACCTATGGATCTAGTGTTACGGAAAAGATTAGCAATAAATATATACAAAAGGCAAAGTATTGCGGATAGGATCAAAAATCAAATAAAGTCAAAAATAGTGAGAACAGATCTAGTTACTTCCTGTGGAGTTACTTATTTAGTAGTTTCCAATGTACCTAAAGCAAGTGAGGAACTAGAGGGTAGGGAAAGTCTCGCACAGCTAGCTGCATCTGTTGAAAATTCATCTATGTGTGACGGGGAAACATATATAGGTAAGATTTCTAACATTTTGGAATAAAATATAATACGCGAACACCACGGAGTCAATCTGTTAGGCTTGAGGAAAAGTTCTGCGGATTGTGACAACTCGAGCACAACAAATCTTCATTCTGCACTTTATCATGCATCACATCACCATCGCTGATTGTTTAGGAAAATTTGGCATGGGGAACGAGATCGATGTCTGGGTACGAGCACGTCTCGTCTGTCGCGGCGGCTGCTGGGAGAAAAGTTATAGACATCGATGACCGATATATTGTTACTCGAATAATTTTTTTTAATATGCTTACCTCAAAATCCGCAGAATTGTTGCTGCAGCCTAGTACTTGACAAATACTGTTCTTTCAGAGAAGTATACTAGAGGGGTGAGTGCTGTTGAAAGTATACTGACACTAGACCGTCTAAGACAAAACGTGGCTGTCAAGGAGCTATTGCAAGCCAGAGGTCAACCTCTGATGAGAAAGACTGTCAGTGTACCTAACTTCTCACAGGTGAGATTTTTATTTTATGTTGGCACATTTAAAAGACAGTATTTTTTAGAGGAATGTTATCATTACTATATTTGAGTATTAAGCAACATGTTATATTTTTATCCGATTATTAATAACAATTTGTTTTTGCTGCCTAGACATTGGAGTCTAAGAACGGGGTAGGTAAATTTTGTTTTGCGTGTGAATTTTTGTTGCTAACATCTGTGTTTATCCTTAGTGTGTGAATAAGTTAACCAGATAACTTTTGATTGGGGAGCAAAAAATATCACATTAAAATTCATCTCATAAAACCTAACCAAAAAGAAGGTATACCAAGAGAAGACAACTAGACAAGGCGAATAAAATTATGGATGGATAGACTTAAATGGTGTTGTCAGATAACAGTATTTGGATGAATTTATTGTTTTTCACTTGTAGCGAAACATTAGGCATTTTCTGTACAAATTTGCTGTTGTTTAGACTTATGTATATTTATTCATAGTAGGGATATTTATCATCTATTTGCAGTATACCAAAGATATTTTTTATCCAATTTACACGTTGCATGTTGGAAATTATTTATATAAGTTTCAGGTATCAGAGTAGGTATCCGACATTTTTCTTCGTTCACCAATAAATAGAAACTCATCATATTACTATTTGCTAATAATGTGCAACATAATTTGGAAAAACGAATCTAATTTTTCTTCGTTCACCAATAAATAGATGCTCATCATACTCTAATATTTGCTAGTAATGTGCAACATAATTTGGAAAAATAAATCTAGGGAATAGATCTGCAACAATAATAAAACTGTAACCCTCGTAAAACGTGAGGTATTTATCGTTGCATGATGGAATTTTAAGAGATTGAAATAGTTTTTACAGTAAAATGCTTATTAAAATACAACCCCATTGTTTTGACTGTTCTCCAAAGTTGAGGGATGGACATATTTTTGCATTGAGTTTCATTAAGCTTTGTTACAAAACGATATAACAATTAGTAAGACCACATCAGAAAAAACCGCAGCCCCAGACTTGATAATATTTGTGCTTGAATGTTTATAATCCCGTTTTTTCAAAAATTTCACACAAATATATCTTAACTATAACATATCGGATTACATTTACCTTGTGTTTTAAATTCTATCGTCACCATTGAGATCTCTGAAACTGTAGGAGATACGAAGTAGCGCAAATAGGAGCAAAGTTGAGTATTTTAAGTAACCAAGCTTATTAAGTTTCGAAATTCAGAGTACTTCCGGGGAGGGACGGAGAAAACAGTATTTCCCAAAAATACGTATTAGTTTTTTTCTAACCTTATTTGTAGTGAAAGTTCAAAATAAATTGCATATCAATATAGCCACTTTTTCTTCTCTGCAAGATGGTATAGTCATAATTTCAATATCACTTTTGTCTCTTGCCGTTCAACTTCAACTTTATCTTTTCCGAGTTTATAATTCTGATGCGAAGGGGCGAAACAGTGGCAATGTTATTGTGCATTCTATTTTTAAATCCCATTGAAATAAAAGAAGGAGGAGAAGAAGGAAATAATTATAACGATTTTGGGAAAATTCGGTTTTTTCCGTCTCTCTCCGGAATTTACAAACTTTCTAAGCGGCATTTTGGTAGTTACCTGAATACACAATTTTGCCCCCATTCAAGCGACTTCGTATCTTTTACCGTTTCCGAGGTCCCAATAGTGAGAGGCGAATTTGAAGCATCCTGAATAGGGGTTCAATCTTCAGTATTGAGGCTTGCTATTATGACTTCCGTTGATTAACCAATAACTTTAAACCCTGTATGAATGTAGCAGCTTACAGACATGTTCTGGAAATTTGGCAACACAACATGGATGTTTCCTCAGCCCTCTGCACTCCGCCAATGAAAAAATCAGCGCATTCTTGTCTCTTGGTATACTTCTTCTTTGATCTAACGATTATTTTATATTGCTTCCTCTGTACAAGTTTTGATTGAAACGATGTTCCAGTTGATGAGATTGGACCTTAGCTCGGAATCTCTTCACATGTCGCGATCAGAAAGCGTTTCTGAGCTGAACAGCGAACTGACAACACCTCTCAGAAGCAGATCTACATTCTGCAGGGATAACGAGGTTACACCTCCCAAGTATGGTGGACTAGGTAAGTTGTTGTTTTGTGATATTCACAGAGTGATGTTATTTCAGTTACATTCATAGCGATGGGGTTTGAAATGGTAAATTATGGTGTATCATTATTAAAATTTATGTGAAGGCATATTTTCCTGGTGGCTTGTTAGACGAGTCGACAGACTCGCACTTGTGGTGAAATGCAATTTAACATCAAGAGGTGATCCGGTGAACATTTGTTTAAACAGTGTCTTTAAAAGAATTATGGAAGTTATTAACTGCTCTGTAGAGTTGGCCGTTTTCGAGTTATAAGCGATTTAAAGTATGAAAAACCGTAAAAATAGTCGTTGTGTATGTTCAAAAACTCGGTTAAAAAACATTACTTTTGGGGTTGCCATGTCTTTAAAGTTTAACCTTGCTGCGTGACATAATTATTATGTATTAAATAACAATGCTTGAAAATAAACTGAGCTCAGAGTTCTCATCAGAATCTTGTAGAATGTAGAGGAAGATTTCAACTTTAATTTAGACCCTTGTAACTTGAAAAATAATTACTTTTTAACCGAGTTCTTGAACAGGGAAAATGGCCATTTTTAGGATTTTCAAACTCTAAACCACTTATAACTCGGAAACGGTCTGTTTTACGAGGAAAGTCAGATAAGTACCTAGCCTCACCATCCGATGGTGCCACTATCGTGACAGAAATTTACTATCGTGTACGGCTGTCAAAATTTCAGTCAAATCGGACTGGTAGTTTTGTTTTGACCGCGTGTGGAAGCGGGCGTGTCCGCGGATTTTAGAAAAATGAAAAATGAGCAATATCAGTCGAAACAGTGGATTAACACGGCGAACGTGCTCCAAAGAAGGCGAATACTGTCCTATGGGCCTGAAAGGTGATGGCTACCGTTTTCTGAGATTCACAAGGTATGATCTAAATCTACTACCGGGAGAAGGGCTAAACGGTCACAGGGCTCTAATATGCCGAAGTATTGGGCCGATTCGACGCCGAATTGCAGAACAACAGACTATTTGGCGAGGAAAAAAGTGCTATTCCATCATGACAATGCACCGGCTCACACCTCTACCGTAGCCACAGCCAACTGCTGCCCCATCCACCGTATTTTCCAGATTTGGCCTCGTTCGATTTCTTTTTGTTTCCACTTGACAAAGTCACTCGCCGGTCAAACATTGGAGTCGAATGAGGAGGTTATCGCCTACTTTGCAGACCTTCAGAAAAAGTATTTTCAGTCAAGTGTATCGAGCTGAAATAAAACTATGCTGCGAAATAGATCGCCACTTTTCCAAAATTTTCTTTTTTCTTTAATAGGCTGAGTACTTATCGGATCGCCCTCGTAGATAATTGTTATTAAGGACCTCTTTTATCTGGAATGATACAAAAAATCTAAACCGACAACCTCTTGATCCAATAAACTGACTATGGAAAAAAATCGAGTTGCAAAATCGGAGGTTTTCGTCTGGTCTATGATGAATACGAGACGTCCTTAACATATTAGTGATTGTTCATATAGACTGAACGTGTTAGAAAAAAAATTAAATATGAGTGAATGCATGACTCATTGGTTGTCATCGTTAACATTTCGTTTGGTTACATTTTGACCCCATTTTTGAGAAAATAGTTGACTGTGATTAGTCTTTTAGTAACTTAATTAGAAAGTACTCAAAAGATTGCCATGAAAAATTGCCTTCTTGAGACGTTTAAAGAGAAAACCAATCACTAATGATTAATCAATTTTCTTTGTGCGAACCACAAGGCTCCATTCTTTCAGGTAAAATGGAGGCTTGCATATTGAGATTGCTAAAAATAGGTGGAAAAACATTGTTACGAAAAAATAAGATCTGCTTGAAATTGAATAACAAGTTTTGAGATAGTGAATGATTGCATCTCAATTCTATGTTGGACCAGTAGTAGTTAGAAAACATGTAGATGAATACATAGCATGGTTTTGATATATTTTGCCGTCTTTAGTTGAAGCTTCACAAATGACCAGAAGCGTTGTTGTGTGACCTACGTCTCCAACACTTTTACAATGCAACAGAGTTTACAAAAATCAACGTTTTTATTCTATTATTTACGATACTTCATCACGTTTTAACGTCTCTTGAGGCAAACAACTCATGTGATATGTTTGTGTTGGCAGTAATGATCATGGTACCATACACTGATGACAATTTATTCTCACATACACCGAGAACCAAATTTGTCTAACGTCTTGTGTTCAATGTATACGAGAGAGAAGTGTGTTGCCTGGCTCAGCTGACGCGGCAATGTGCCGCGTTGCCAATATGTTGATCAATTCCTTGAATTAAGATGCATGTTGATAATTTGCGATAGTTTATTCCCTACGCCCAAATAATGATTTTATTTTGAGCGTATACATTTAGTATTTGTTCCATAACAATAACTCGAGATGTGTTTATCGATTTCATTATCGGTGGTAATCAAAGAAATGAATAAAAAGACTAAGTCACATCAAATTTGAAATGAATAATTCTAGCCAAAATGAAAACAAAATATTGAATTAAATGTTCGAACAGACCTCCTTCTTGGGTTTGACAGTGACCTAACGTATTGTAGAAGCCTGTGCGAACATTTTCTGGTGTAACATATTCGCCACGCGGCAGATTGCACGACCTCCTGCGTCACCGTGACTAGGCAACGTGGTGATGACCTTCTCTCTTCAGTCGGCTTCTATCTGTATGTACTTTCACTGACTGGGAATTTTGATGATAAAATATACATGCAGTAGATCATATACAAGCATTGTTAGAAACTATGCGGCAGTAAAAAAAACAGTAAAATACGACACAAGATAATAATGCTGTTATTGACATGTTTTGCCGTGATGAAGTTTCGTAAAAAATAGTTTATTTTTTTACGTACAGGTTTCATCTAGCATATTCGAAAATCCATGTTACACGTAGATCGCTAAAAATGTGAGGAAGCATTCCTTAGTGCTTCCTCCGTGATTTTTCGATGCAACATTTGAAACAAAAATTATGGAATTATGTATCCCACTAAAAAAAACGTAAAATGCTTCCAACCGTCCAGTCAACCGTATACGGCGCCGTTTCATCTCCAGGAGTCATCAGTGTAGTATAGGCGAGACAATGAGCAGAAATAGGGTAATAGCAATTTACAGAGTCAGTTTTTAGTGTGTAAGGTTATTTACAATCATTCTAGACAAATACACGTTCGTTGGAAAATGTGCCCCTCTGCAAAGGGTAACTCATAACTACGTGACAACCCAAACCTTCTTCAGAGAAAAGATTATGATATAGCATAATATAGGTTTTGGATATGTTCCACAGTACAACTAAAAAAACACTCAGCTTTGACAGCTTGTATGTCAGTCACTTTTGCAGATTTTTCGTCAAAATGAACTTCATATCTCATAGTTTCTCCACATTTACACGTTTTTTTTTTTAATTGTGTGTACCATTTATATCTATACATCCAAAATGTACGTGTTTCAAAAAATTGAAATGAAACATCCCCAATATTTTTACGGTTTTGGGTTATTAGAAGTAATAAAAAGTACATTTCGCGTTAATATGAATCACAAAATTAAAAAAAAAAACTTCCAAATACCAGAAAGTAAGAGATTTAGAGCTTATTTTGACGAAAAGTTTGCTACCCTATCTGGAAAAGTTACAGACTTACAAACTGCCAAAGTTGAGTTTGCCGATATAATATCCCGTAGCTCCAGAAGTTGCCATCCAAACCCAGTATGCATAGCAAACTTTTTTCTCTTAAGAGGAATTTCAAAATATACTAAACTATACAGGGTATTCTATTTAAAAACTTGCATGTTTTCGTTATCACGCGTAGTCATGAATCGTCCTGTAGAGAGCGGCATATTTCCCAAGTAAGATGCGTATAGTTGTCTACAATTTTTGTTACGAACTTTCGTAAATGTATTCCAAAATAACGGAGCTATCGAGCAATCGCACACTAAAACCTCGCCCAGTATATCAAAAGAATTATCGTCAGCGATTATGTGCCATATCATTACACTACCATGCTTTCGTTGAATATCCTATATCGTACTGATGATTCTGAAGCGGTGCTACATAATGTTGTTTGACAGAAGCACTTCTAACATTTGGGCGACCTTAATCTGAGATAAACTGTGAGCATGATACATAGACGGTTGTGTTATTTGGCGAATTTTCTCTTATCTCTCATTTGACGTAAAATAACTTTCTGAAATATATCTTGCGTTAATTCACTGTAAATAAATGATTGGTAAAACGTTTTGCTTCACGTCCAATTAATCGTTACTATCATGTTAGTGAAATTAGAACAACAAATCATAGTGAAAGATCCATTGGTACCACATTTACTTCAAATCCAAGTATCTATAGAAGTCTGTCAGAAAAAGAGGATGTTTTAGGCTCTTGATATTTGTCATAGGACAAACACTGTGCTGTTATACAGTGTCCCAGAATAACACGTCAATCTCTGTTATGCATGTTAAAAACAAAAAATAATGTCACAAGTTCTCTAGTTCATCCCTGGCGGTCTGAATGGATACCATCTGGTGAGGCACCAACTGGATGCTAAGCTGTCAAAATTTAGTTGAATCATACAGTATCGTTCAAGGGTTATTTAAGAAATCAATTTCCAGTGGGCCATGTATCTCCTTAGCGGAGTCCCGTATGGCATTTTTATGGAAATTTCAGTCATTATTTTTTTGTGTTCTATATGCATACGAGATACTTACCTGTTAGTCTGAGACAGCCTGTATCAATTATGGATTTTTTTGTCTATTAAAACATGCAACTGAATGCGCAGTGACATTTAAATAAATTCTCGTTTTTCTGACGGATCCCGAACTATGATACTAGCTAACAGATGTTATCTTCAAAGAAAGTCATGGTTAATACTTTCATATGCTATCATCCATATATCCATTTTGTAAATTGTAATGAAGTCACAGAGACGAAAGCCGTAAAAATGGATTGGTTGCATTTTGTGGAGCATGTGTAGTGAAACTAGACCAAAATTGAAAA